TAAACCACCCTTAATTGAAGTATCCACATTCACACTGGTGAGTTTTGACACAAGACCCATGAAACCATCACCACAGTCATGAAACCATCACCAGTCTGCCCCTTTGTAATCTCTCCCTTCCCTGCGTACCTGCCCTCCTGATCCTTCGAGGCAATCAATCTGTCACTGGGGATTAGTTTGAATTTTCTGTGATTTTATATACATGGAATCTACATTATATACACTGTTTTGTTTGGCATCTTTAATTAAGCAAGTTCTTTTGAGACATATCTGTGCTTTTGTGCATATCAGTAGTTCATTCCTTTTTATTCTCTTGTACGAACATACCATGATGTGTCTATTTGTCCATCTGTTGATGGACATCTGGGTTGTTTCCAGTTCTTGGCTCTTATAAGTAAAGCTTCTATAAGCATTCATGTACAAAGTGTTATATGGACATAGTCTTTCTTTATTTGTGAGTAAATACCTAGTAGCTGAATAAGCTGAAGGATTATATGGTAGGTATATGTTTAATTTTTTAAGAAACTGCCAAACTGTTTTCCAAAGTAGTTGTAGTGTTTTGTATTTCCACCAAGCAGTGTGTGAAAGTTCTGTTTTTCCCACATCCATGTCAACACTTGGTATGGACCTTCTTTTTAATTTCTGTAACAATAGGTCATTGTGGTTTTATTTTTTATTTTCTTAAAAGATTTTATTTACTTATTTGACAGAGAGAGACACAGCGAGAGAGGGAACACAAGCAGGGGGAGTGGGAGAGGGAGAAGCAGGCTTCCCACTGAGCAGGGAGCCCGACGCGGGGCTCGGTCCCAGGACCCTGGGACCATGACCCGAGCCGAAGGCGGAGGCTTAACGACTGAGCCGCCCAGGCGCCCAGGTCATTGTAGTTTTAATTTGCATTTCCCTATTGGCTAATGATATTGAGCATCTTTTCATGTACTCAGTTGCCATCCACATGTCTTCTTTGATGAAGTGTCAACTGAAATCTTTTGCCCATTTGAAAACAAAGGGTTGATTATTTTCTTATTATTGATTTTTGAGAGTTCTTTATATTTTGGGTAAAAATTATTTGTTAGATATAGGCTTTGCAGATATGTTCTTCCAGTCTGTTACTAGTCTGTTCATTCTCTTAACCAGGCTTTTTGAAGACCACAAGTTTCGAATTTTGGTGAACTCCATTTTATCCATTTGTTCTCGTATGGTTTCCTATTTAGAAAATCTCTGCCTTACCCAGCGTCACAAACATTTATCTCCAATGTGTTATTTTAGAAGTTTTAGAGTTTTAGGGTTCACGTTTGGGTCCATGATCTATTTTGTGTTAATTTTTATGTATGGTGTGATGCATGGTTGGAAGTTCTTTTCCTTTTTGCATATGAATATCCAGCTGTTTAAGCCCCATTTCTTGAAAAGATTACTATTTTTCCAGTGAATTGCTTTTACCTCTTTGTCAAAATCAGTTGTTCACACATAAATGATCTATTTTTGGGCTTTCTCTTCTATTTTTTTTTTAAAGATTTTATTTATTTATTTGAGAGAGAAAGAGAATGAGAGACAGAGAGCACGAGAGGGAAGAGGGTCAGAGGGAGAAGCGGACTCCCCGCCGAGCAGGGAGCCTGATGCGGGACTCGATCCCGGGACTCCAGGATCATGACCTGAGCCGAAGGCAGTCGCTCAACCAACTGAGCCACCCAGGCGCCCTTTCTCTTCTATTTTATTGATCTATTTGTTTATCTTTATACCAGTACCACACTATTTTGACTACTGTAGCTTTTATAATATGCCTTGAAGTCAGATATTTTTAGCCTTCCAACTTTGTTCTTTTTCAAAATGGTTTTGGCAATTCTAGGTACTTTGCATCTCCATGTGAATTTTAGGATTAGTTTGTTAATTTCTAGAAAAAAGTCTGCTGGGATTGTTTTGAAGCTATGTATCAATTTAAGGGAGAATTGACATAATATTGAGTTTGCCAACCTAAGAACAAGATACATCTTTTATTTCTCTTACCTGCGTTTTGCAGTTTGCAGAATATAGGACTTTCATATCTTTCCTCAGGCTTCTATTTTCTGTTTTTCTGCTATTATAATTGGTGCTTTTTAAAATTTCAGTTTCAATTGTTGCTATTATGTAGAAATATAGTGATTTTTGTATATTGATCTTGTCTTTTGTAACCTTGCTAAACTCACTAAGCTCAATAGTAACTCTTTGGTAGATTTGAATTTTCTACATCTGTGAAGAAAGACAGTTTTATTTTTTCCTTTCCAGTCTGGATGCCCCTTATTTATTTTTCTCGCCCCTTTGCACTTGATGACTTCTCTAATATAATATTGAAAAAAGTTGTAAGAGCAACCGTTTTTACCTTTTTTCTGATTTTAGGGAGAAAATGTTCATTCTTTCATTATTAAGTATGACGTTGGCTTATGGTTTTCCTCAATGCTTTGTATAAGGCTGACAAAGTTGCCTTTTATTCCAAGTTTGCTGAAAAAAATTTTTTCTTATAAAGAATCGGTGTTAGAATTTATCAAATGCTCTTTCTCCATCGATTGAGATGATCATAGAGTTTTTCTTTTTCAATCTTTTAATGTAATTACATTGATTGCTTTTTGAATGTTAAAACAGCTTTGCATTTATGGGATAAACCCCACTTGGTCATGATGTGTCCTTTTTCTATGTTGCTGGATTTAATTTGCTAACATTTGTTAAGAATTTTTATGTTTGTGTTCATGAAGGATATGTGTAGTGTTTTTTTTTTCTTGTAATAGCTTTTTCTGCTTTTGGAATAGAATTAGAATAATGCTCATGGAATGAGTTGGGATGTAGTTCCTCCTCTCCAGTTTTCTGGAAGAGTTTGTTTAGAATTAGAATGTTTTCTTCCTTACATGTTTGGTAGACTTTCTCAGTGAAGCCCTGTGGGCCTAGAGTTTTACTTATTGGAAGGTCTTAACTACATACAGGCAGTGGAGGAGCTCCGTTTAACTTGGTGTCATGGAGAAGTCAGCTCTGTTAGCTACTGCTTACACCGAGCAGCTACCTCCTGGAATTGAAGACGTAGAATTAGATTTTAAAATAAAAATCACCATCATGAACACTAACAAAACAGGTGCTCACAGCTCTGAAGATTTGGTTTGGGGAATGAGGCTGGGGATTGGGAATATCCTTGCAAATGCTGGAGATGGGCCCCCCCATTGGTAAACCATGCAAAAACTTTGTGTTGTTACAGTCAGTCCCTGGTAGGCTGTGTTCAGAGAGGGCCTTTTAGCCAATTTTCATTCTCTTTATGTTCAGCTCTGAGGGCTGAATTCGTAGTTTCTGTGTTTTTTTTTTTTTTAAGATTTTATTTATTTATTTGACAGAGAGAGACACAGCGAGAGAGGGAACACAAGCGGGGGTGGGGTGGTGGGAGAGGGAGAAGCAGGCTCCCCGCTGAGCAGAGAGCACCATATGGGGCTCGATCCCAGGACTCTGGGATCATGACCTGAGCGAAAGGCAGACGCTTAATGAGTGAGCCACCCAAGTGCCCCTGTTTATGTGTTTTTTTGTTTGTTTGTTTGTTTGTTTATGTGTTTTTAAGACAAATGGAGAGAGCATGTGGGAGTACAAGTAATTTTTTCTTAACCTGCTTCATAGTTAAATAAAAGGAGTGAGATAGGGAGCTCAACATGGGAGAATTTCCTAAGAGGGTCTGCTGTCTTAACAAAGCTTAACAGAAGCTGGATGGGGTGAAGCTGTGCCCGTCTCCTCGTCAAGAAATGAAAGTGCTTACTCAGCATCCGGCCCTGCCATCAGCCGAATGTCAGTGCCCAGCAGGCTGTAAGCCCCTTGGAAGCAGAGTCCTCATTAATCATGAACTTTTAACTCTTTTATAGAAGTGTGTAAGTTTATAAAATGTGTGGAGTGATGTTAATGTTCTTCTAAAATGATTGAATTCTTTCATTAATTTCTTAGTGATACAACATGTCTGCAGCAAGGTGTGATATGGAGTGTGCTGTAGTTTATTGGGTATGCTAACCACTACACACTCTTGTAATTTGTGTAGGGATACAGGGCACGATTAGAAAAGATGATAAAACAATCTTTGGGCGCCAAAAGACTAAAGCAAACAGAAGGACTTAAGAATAGGAAAGTCACCATTAGTGGGACTCTTAAGGAGATAACCTGAAAAGAGAATAGGTAGCCAGAAGGATGAGTTCCTGACCTGAAGTGTAGCACCTGCTAAAAGGATGAAGAAAAGCAAATCCAAAGGCTTAAAAAGGGCTTTAAACTGAATCTGGAGAGGAAGGGAGAAGATAAACTCAGATGAACTCACAGACCTTACAGCAAAGGTAAATTAGAAAAAAAGAATGTCTGGCAGATAAAGAAACTCAGTATTTGTTTAACAGGTGAATGCATGAGCCAGTGAGAGTGAATGAACATGCTCAAGGTCCTGGTGAGTCACACGTTTCGTAAATGAGGACTCTTGGTGCTCACGGGCTCTATAACCAATGCCCAGAGTATGGATGGTGATGGGCGGGAAACTGAAAAAAAAAAAGAAAGTTTAAAAAGAGGATAAGCTTAGTGGTATGTTTGTTTTGGATAAAGTAGAGACTGGAAGAATAACTGACCTGCTATTTGACTTTCAGCAATGATCAATTAAAAAGAAGGATGGGAAGAGAGAGGGTATATTAGCTAGTTTCAAGTGTTTCGAAGGGATTTCTACTGAAAGAGGGAGAGACCTTATTTTGCATGATTCCAGAGGACAGGGAGGAAGAAAACACCCACCTGTGCAGCCAAAATAGCCAAATAAATCTTCACTCTTAGTTATGGGCAACGGCAGCTTACCTCTCACTTTTCAGAGTAAACACTGAAGCCGCAAGCGGGTGAAATTGTCCAGGGAAAGAGTGAAGGAAGGATGACCAAGAACGAGTCCTCGGGCATATCCTTTACTATAAGTGACTCAATCAAAATCAGAAGTTAAAGTTATGATTTTGGTCCTATAATTTAGACACACTTCTTTTTGTCTCTTGTAGGAGTGATTCTGATCAAAGCCCAGATTTTAGAGTTAGTGATTCCTATGCCCGCAGCTCAGAAGATAGCTCTGAATGCCCGCAGCTCTCTGAGGAGCATCTTCTCTTCTCTTCCGGACATTGTGTATGCCGGCTGTGCAAAATGCGGACTGGAACTGGAAACAGACAAGAACAAGATCTATAAACAGTGTTACAGCTGCTTGCCCTTTACTATGAAGAAGCTGTACTACAGGTGAGGCAGCCAAGCAAGCCATTGGGATGGAAAAGATTTATTATTATATGACTGGACATTACCGAAAAATTGCATATATCAATTCTTACTTTCTAATGAGAACTAACTAGAACTAATCCAAGAGAATAACAATTTTCCCCTGAGTGACAAATGGCTGTTTATGAAAGCAAAAATTGTCCAGTAATCATAACAGGGATTTTTAAAAGCAGTAATTGGAAGACTTACTATCGTCAAGCAGCTATATTGAAGAAAATTTTTATTTGGTTTATATTTTTAACCAAGATCTAAATGGCTCATAAGAAACTGACTTCCATACTTTAGCATGTAATTGGAATTTAAAGGTTAAAACTGTTCTATGATCTAACCTCTCAGTGTGGAAGCTAATAAGATGTTTAACTTTTCTGTGCCTCAGTTTTCCCAGCTTCACATTAGAAATTAAGGACTGCAAATGTTCTTTGGTAAAATTGCAAACCAGCTCAGTGAAAAACACATTTTTCAAATAATAAATGTTCAAAAACTTGGAAAAATTTTTTCTTTTTACCTTGTAAATTGCATGCCTTTATAAAATAGCCATCAGTGTTTTATGCTCTTTTCTGTTTCTAAATACTGCAGTATCTAAAAACTAAATGCAGGTGTATTCAGCATGTTATCATGGTGTATGTTAAGAATATTAACAGAAGCTTAATCCATAAACCTTATTTCCCTTTATATATGTGTGTTATAAATAAGTAAATAGATTTTGCTCTTACTCTGGAAGTTGCTTGTATGAAAAGAAAATTAAATTAAGATGCATGGTGTATAAGAAATAAAGTTAATTAGGAGCCCCTGGGTGGCTCAGTTGTTAAGCGTCTGCCTTCGGCTCAGGTCATGATCCCAGCGTCCTGGGATCGAGCCCCACATTGGGCTCCCTGCTCCGCGGGAAGCCTGCTTCTCCCTCTCCCACTCCCCCTGCTTGTGTTCCCTCTCTTGCTGTCTATCAAAAAAAATAAATAAAACCTTTTTTTTAAAAAGAGATTTGTTTATTTATTTGAGAGAGAGAGAGCATTGGGGGGGGCAAGGGTCAGAGGGAGAAGCAGACTCCCTGCTGAGCAGGGAGCCCGATGCGGGACTCGATCCTGGGACTCCAGGATCATGACCTAAGGTGAAGGCAGTCACCCAACTAACTGAGCCACCCAGGCGCCCATAAATAAATAAAATCTTAAAAAAAAAAGAAATATAGTTAATTAAAATGGATATCTTATCAATAGTTAAGGCTCCTTACAGAATGTGTGTGTTATTTTATGTCATTCTTAATGTTCCTAATCAATGTAATTATTTATTGGACAAAAATGTTACTCAATAAATATCCCTTATGGAGAAGACAGACTTTGAATCTTCAGTCTAAAGAATAACTATTCAAGGGGCGCCTGGGTGGCTCAGGTGGTTAAGCGTCTGCCTTCGGCTCAAGTCATGATCCCAGGGTCCTGGGATCAAGCCCCGCATCGGGCTCCTGGCTTGGCGGGGAGCCTGCTTCTCCCTCTGCCTGCCGCTCCCCTTGCTTGTGCTCTCTCTCTAACTATCTCTCTCTGTAATAAATAAATAAAATCTTTAAAAAAAAAAAGAATAACTATTCAAGAGAAGGACTTCACAGATCATTATCACCTGACTATGGTATAACCTAGTATGAGGTATATAAGGTATAGTTCTAAACTATACTGCATTGAAGATGTGCAAATTTTTTGTGTTGCTAGAATGTTGATAGACATGCTAAAGCAAGAGTTGTTTTTGTTTATTTATTTAAAAAAGCCTTAAAATTGTTTTTAGGTTTAGGATTCAGATTATTTGATTTCCTTAAAAGAAATTTTTTTTTGTTAAAAAGAAAATCTTGAGATTAAATGACAGATTTCTTCAAATTATCAAGTACCGTGATTCAGAAATCATTGCATGAGTCATCACTTACGATTCTACATAGGTCAGTAGCAACCTGAATAAGAAAAAGCTCTGATTGCTTATTTTTCAAAGACCCAAACAATCAGGTTGGGTATCCACATATGTTCACCCAATATTTAGTAATGTGGATGTTATGCTGATTGATGTAAGCATATTTTTGTACTCAAAAACTCTTATGAAATACTTAATGAACATTTGTATGGCATGACAGTCCCATGCTGTGAGTGGACCAGTTACATTTGATGTTGGTTGTTTTTAACTTGGAACTGATTTTCCAGTGGCAACATTAGATACCATGGTTTGAGTCTCATTCCCACCTGCAAAAAGGATTACCTATGTGCTGGTGACTTTTGTTGGCATCTCCACCCTGGTTTTCTCCTCTAAGCCCCAGTATCCAGATACTCAATTCCCCACTTGAATGTGTTTCAGGCATCCCACACTAAAAATACCCGAGCTCGGCTCTCTTATTGTTCCTGTCTATATCAAACTTGGTTCTTCCCATTTTCATACTTCCCAGTACATGGCATCACCGTCTACCCCATTAACCTAGAAACCTGCACATAGCCCTTGAATCATTCCTTTTTCCTTACCTCCCATGTCTAATCTACTGGCAAGTCCTATGAATTTTCATTCAAAACCGTATCACAAATTCGCCCGCTTTTTTCCATCTCCACTGTTCCTTAACCTCAGGGGCACTAGTGACATTTCAGGCAGGACAGTTACTCATTGTTAGGGTACTCCACACATTGCAGAGCATGTGGCATCTTGTTTACCTGGCCTTGCCAACACCCCAGTTATCATGAAACCAGAACACGGAGTCAGGACCTCCTGGTCCTGAAGCACATGGGCCCAGTCCGGGCCACTGCTAGGTCTTGCTCCAACTATCAGAGTAGTGGTCTCTTAGTTGGCCTCCTTCGGCCTTGGCCCCCTTCTGTCCACTCTGTGCACAGCTGACGGGGTGATCACTGCCTGACTTAAACACCTCCCGGTAGTTTCCCTTTACACTCTGCTGCTATGCTTTCCCTTGCTCCCTGTGTTCCAGGCCCCTGGCCTTCTTTCAGTTCCTTGGTCACCCTGATGTTTTTCTCCTTGCACTTTCTTGCGTGTTCTTCCCTCCGCCCGACTCCACATCTTAGTTTTTGTTTTTGTTTTTTTTTAATTTGACAGAGAGAGACACAGTGAGAGAGGGAACACAAGCAGGGGGAGTGGGAGAGGGAGAAGCAGGCTTCGCTTCCCACTGAGCCAGGAGCCCGATGTGGGGCTCGATCCCAGGACCCCGGGAACATGACCTGAGCCAAAGGCAGACACTTAACGACTCCACATCTTAGTTTAAACGGCACTACATCAGAGGTACCTTCTTTTCTTTAGAGATTTTTTTTATTTATTTGAGAGAGAGAGAATGAGAGATAGCACGAGAGGGAAGAGGGTCAGAGGGAGAAGCCGACTCCCTGCTGAGCAAGGTGCCCGATGCGGGACTCGATCCAGGGACTCCAGGATCATGACCTGAGCCGAAGGCAGTCGCTTAACCAACTGAGCCACCCAGGTGTCCTCAGAGGGACCTTCTTAATCCCCCCTGTATTTTCTGTGACAGCATCATGTGTGTACTCACTGCAATTTGTACTTGTCTAGTTGTATGCCGTCTTCTCTAAAAAACATCTTTACTGGGCTAGAGTTCACGTAGCATCAAACAAACGCATCTAAAATGTATGATCCCTGGTTTTAGTATATTCACAGGGTTGTGCACTGTCCCCATGGTCCATTCTTAGAGACATTTTCATCACCCGGAAGCCCCATTTCCTTTAGCAGTTACTTGCCCCCTCCCCCCAACTCAGCATTTGGATTGGTCCCACATTTTGGGTGTTAATGAACAGTACTGCTGTGAAGATTTGTGTTCAAATTTTTAGTGGATATGTGTTTTAGAATCACTGGGTTGTATGGTAATTCTATGTTTAATTTTTTGAGGAACTGCCAAACTGGTTTCCAAAACTGTTGCACAACTTTACATTTTCACCAGGAATATATGAAGTTTCTGTACATCCTTGCCAACATTTTTTATTATCTGTTTTTCTTTTTGTTGCTTGTGCTTTTCAAAGGTATCTGTATCTAAGAAAGGTATCATTCCTAAGCCAAGATCATGGAGATTTACTCCTTTATTTTCTCACAAGAATTTTATAGTTTTAACTCTTTATGTATAGGTCCATGATGTATTTTGAGTTAGTGTAAGGAAGGGGTCGAGCTTCATTTTTTTACGTGCGAATATCCCATTGTCCCAGCATGATTTGTTGAAAAGAAGATTCTATCCCTGTTGAATTATCTTGGCACCATTGTTAAAACGTTTATTGTCTTTTTGTCCCACTAAACTCTTATGCTCCTTGAGTGAAGGAACCAGATCTGTCTTGTTTACTGTTGTGTACCCAGTGCTTAGCACAGTGCTTGGCACATGGTACATATTGAGTATGTATTTGGTGAAATAAAGAATGGAGGAACAGGGAGAGCATGGAGAGAGAGGAAAGACCTAGAATCATCATGTGGGTAAAAGGGGAAGTAGGTTTTTTGAGGGAAAAATCAGTAGTGTTGTTTGAGCTGTTAAACAAAATTCCTCTATATTAATGAGTCTGTTTCTATAATCTGTTCTCAGGGCCCCTGGGTGGTTCAGTTGGCTGAGGGTCTGACTCTTGATTTCAGCTCAGGTCATGACCTCAGGGTCATGGGATCGAGCCCTGTGTCCGGTTCTCCGCTCAGCACAGAGTCTGCTTGTTCCTCTCCCTCTGCTCCTCCCCCACTTATACTCCTTCTCTCTTTCTCTCTCTCTCTCTCAGACTAAAAAAAAAAATCTGATCTCAATTTATTTTTAACAATTAATTAATCTTTAAAAGAGGTAAGATGACCATGGTAAAAATGCAAACTGGAGAGGAAGATATAAAGCAAAAAGTTTCTCCCCATCCACCCCTCCACCATCGGTGCTACTTCCTTGCTCGTAGGAGGTTTTTGTATATTCTTCATACCAGCACATGTATATCCCTTTCTTTAAAAATACATAGATATGGGGCTCCTGGGTGGCTCAGTCGGTTAAGCGTCTGCCTTTGGCTCAGGTCATGGTCCCAGGGTCCTGGGATCGAGCCCGGAGTCTGGCTCCCTGCTCAGCAGGGGGGAGTCTGCTTCTCCCTCTGCCTCTGCCGCTTCCCCTGCTTGTGCTTTCTCTCTCTCTGTCTGTCTCTCTCTGTCAAATAAATAAATAAAATCCTTAAAAAAATAAAAATAGATAGAATATTATCCATTTTGTTTTATTCATAGTGTTTGTTCCATAGAGTATATCATGGGTTCCTTCCCTAAAGCACTTATAAACCTTCATCATTCTTTTAACAGCCACATAGTACTCCACTGTAGCACATACTGAAAATGATTTATCTAGTTCCCTATTGATCTACTTGCAAAACAGTCTGGTTTTGATAGGAAAGAATCCAGTGGGGAAAAATAACTTGAAATTGTGATTGTGAAATATTGTGATTATTATCTTTATTTTTATTTCTAAGAATAATTTATACAACAGTGTAAAAATATGTTTTCTTTTTTTTTTTTTTAGATTTTATTTATTTATTTGAGAGAGAGAATGAGATAGAGAGAGAGCACGAGAGGGGGGAGGGTCCGAGGGAGAAGCAGGCTCCCCGCCGAGCAGGGAGCCCGATGTGGGACTCGATCCAGGGACTCCAGGATCATGACCTGAGCCGAAGGCAGTCGCTTAACCAACTGAGCCACCCAGGCGCCCAAAAAATATGTTTTCTTATATTAGTTTCTGAAATTTTAAAATGAATATGGAATAAATCAAATTTATTAATTTGTCATTTGAAATTTTTTTTTTTAAAGATTTTATTTATTTGACAGAGAGAGAGAAGGACAGCAAGAGATGGAACATAAGCAGGGGGAGTGGGAGAGGGAGAAGCAGGCTTCCCACTGAGCAGGGAGCCCGATGCTGGGCTCATTCCCAGGACCCTGGGATCATGACCTGAGCCGAAGGCAGATGCGCAACGACTGAGCCACCCAGGTGCCCCGTCATTTGAAATTCTTAAAAAAAAAAAAAACAAAAAACCCTTCTTTTTTTTTCTAGGATGTTTCAGAGCGTCCTAGAGTTGTTTTAGGAATTAAGATGAACCCGGCATAAAAACCCAGTGCTCTTTGAAATTACATGGTGCTTAAGTGTTTCTTTAATTTGAACATGTTATTGAAGGTCACGTGTTATTTACTGTTTTGTAGACCAGCTGTAATGACCATAGCTGATGGAATATATAAGGTTTGCATCCACGTAGGATCAAAGCTGATCGAGAAGATTCTTCTCAACATTTCCCCTGACTGGCTCAACAGAGTTGTAGGTAAGATGTCAGCTCACCATCGAGAGGTTGTTGGTGGTGAAACTACTCGTTTCAGGGCTGTTGACAGTATATTGGAACAGAAAGAACACTATACTGTAAGTTAAGGTTTTTTTCCTGTCAGTGCAAAAGCTTGAGTGGAACAAAGAGGATGAAGTTGGAAGATAAGCCTTGCTCTACACCTGCTGTGACAGGCACGCTCAGCCTTGCATCTCTGCGGGTCTTTTGCGGTCCTCCCCTCTCCCAGCAGTAGGGCACCACCGCTCAGCCTTGCATCTCTGCGGGTCTTTTGCGGTCCTCCCCTCTCCCAGCAGTAGGGCACCACCGATGGTCTTGATCTTGGAGGTTTCCTGCCCCTCTCCCAGGGATGGAGGGATTTTTCTTTTATCTTTCCTGCATGTTCAGCCCTGGGGCAATAGGATTTGCTGACCTTCCTCCAGCAGTTTAAGGCTCTCTTTCCTTAAAGGAGCATCCTCAATGGTGTTTTGTGTTTTCCCTTGTGGCAGCTTCTCCCTCCCTTTCTCCAGACTTCACCGTGGTTGGAAGCTATCTCTATGTCTTGCCCTCCGTCCAGGCTTGTGAGCACCTGGTGGTGACGAGAAGAGCCTGCCAGGGTGCAGACTCCCCTTGCCTGAGACACTGGCCCACACTTGACTTTTAGCAAGTCGTGAAAAATTGTAGCGCATTCTTCCTTCTTGCTTGTTGGGTGGATGTGTCTTCTTTCTGAGCTGGCCGCGGTAACGCTGTGCTCCTGCTGTCTCCTCTCATTTCATTCGGCTTGGCTGCCTCACTGCCTCGGCTCTCCTAGAGGCTCCACAAATTGTGATTTTGTAGTGTCTTCAAGTTTTCTAGTAATTGTTAAGGTTGGAGCCATGTTCTTTCCAGCTTTCCACATCCTAACCGGAAGTCTGTCTGTCCTTTTTGATTCACTGTCTTTATTACCATTCATTCTTCTGGCTGTTTTGTTCCTTCTGTCAGTGTTCTTTGTTGTGTTTTCAGTCTTGTCTTTTCATTTTTGGCACAATACCAGTTAGCCTCCACTTCTCAGAGGAGGACCGTTCTCAGATCAAGTCTATGTTCACGTTTTGCCCATTCAATTGCAACCCTAAGTGAAATTGTGGGCACCAGTTAAAAAGTGGTCATCAGACCATTCAAATTATCACTAATCTTGATTTTCTTTTTTAGCTTATCCAAGTGAAAATACAAAAGATTTAAGTATTGTAAGAGAATTCCCTCACCTCCAAAAACATGTGATTGGCTGCCTGGGAGTCCATAGACCCAATTCAAGAGGGGCTGGTGGTGTTGGTCAGGGAACGAGTGTAGTTTGAGTGGCTGGTCGTGCCTGGCCAGCCTAGCATTGAGCACCCGGCTCAGGACCTGGACTTGATAGCCTAAAAAAAAAAGGAAGACTATAAGACAAGTACAAAAATACAGTGACATCTATCTGTAATTTCAGTATTTTTATATTATCAAGATTTGATATTCATTAAGTCACTGACTCAGGGTTCTGTTGTATAAACTATCTAGATAACTGATAAGAGCTGTCGACTGGATAAAGAAGATGACTTTTCTGACATGGACACACTCTTTTTGTGTCAGGCTTGACTTAGGAAGATGTTAAAGTCAGTTCTTTCCTCTGTTGTTTTAAGAAGCTAAGAGCTGTGCCATAATAGGAAATGCCGTCACTCTGAGCAGCCTGACCTTGATCAGCAGGCATTGCGGGTCCTCATTCTAGAGCATCTTCAGCACCTGTGACTAGAAGGGGAGGGGATAGAAAGGGAAATTTCCAGTGGGTGTGGGGCTTGAGAACCAAGGGGGACAGTGACCCCTTGGCTGTGTGCGTTTCTGCCGTGTGGGCAGGGAGCCTAAGAGCTGCCTGTTTCCGTGTTCCTCAGCGCCTCCCTCAGAGATCACCTATGCCATGGTGGCAGCCGACTTGATCCACTCGCTGGTGGCCGGTGGCGGCGCCCCTTGTGCAGTGAAGGCACAGAGCCTCTTCGTGTTGGATGAAAACAGCTGCCCGCTGCAACAAGAGTTCTCCCTACTGGATTTTTATCCCGACAGTGGCAAGCCTGTACCCAGTGCCCTCCTCTGAGACCGGAGGGGAAGTTGCAGGTACTTCAAGGAAGATGGCTGAACTGATTTGCCTTTTTGAGAGAAATGAATGACAGGGCTTTACCTGGGCGTTAAAAAAATATATATATACATATTTTATATATTATATATATTAAAACATATTATACTTAATATATATATATTTGTAAAGAGAATTGTATTAAATATATAAATTAAAACTTTTTTTCTAGGAACATTCTGTGAGGTTTTCTGTCTGTTGTTTGGTCTTTTCCTTTCCTGCTTCTAGAGGAAGGCTCTGGCAATAAAGGCCATATGTAGCACTTCCCTGGGAAGTTCACTCTGTTGGTCCCTGCTCCATTCCAGTGCTCTACTAAGGACCCAGGACACAGACAAAAGACATTTTCTCAGGAGTGGCTTTTCTGTCATGCTCACAAACTCTCAGTGCTTTCCCTTTAATAAACTGTCAACGTGAAATGATTTCCTCTGTTGTAATTATACACGGGAATGGGTTAGTTTGTATAAGCCTGCGTTTAGACAAGTTCAAGACAAGCATGTCTTTCTATAAAGAAGCAATGAAAATGAAGGAAACAGATCCTGCTTCAACTCGTTTTATAAAAGGTGGAAGAGAGTCATGTTGTTAGTTCATTTCTAGGATCTCAGTGCCTTACTGAGTTTACTTACTAACAAACATTTAGTGATTTGTTCTCTCATTAGGATTGTAGAAGAATAAAGTAGTAGTCACCGTATAAAATAGTAGTCACTGATGAGGAAATGTGGAAGGACACCTAACCTGTAAGTCTGGAGTATACTGAGGGTTAATAGGTTAAAAATATTGCTTGAAAAAAACTAAATTTGTGATGAAATGAGCATGTTTGTTTTACCATACATGTGCTTTTAAAAATTCTTTTGGTTCATTGCACTTGTTTTTTCTAATTTAGGGATTTTTTTTTTTTTTTAACTTGAACCTCAGGAGTTTTGTGATTCTCCCAAAAATAATATGTAAAAATGTGTGTGTGAGAGAGTACACACACACACAAGTACATCTTTCTGTGGAGGAGGTCAGTCATTCTCAGCAAATCCTCAGAAGGATCCTTGACCAAAAAAGGTGAGCGGGTTGGGGTAGGAACAACCGCTGTACTTGGTGAGTTAATTCCTGGGGAAGGAAGGGATTAAATCAAATGATTGCCTGCACCCAGTAAGGTGGGTAGAAAAAGAGTTGTCCCCGTGTTGTACATAGAGAAACAAGATAGTTGGCTCTCCCAGATAATTCATGTGATGGGTGACGAATCTCAAGCCCAGAGCTGATGTCTTCTAAGCCACGCTCTTTCAACTATAAGCACAGTGGAAGCAGATCTGGAATTCTGATATAAAATTTGCCAGTGTAAGCCTACCGAGAAGGCTGTTTTCTTAAACTTGTCTTCCCCACTTTGTCCTCAAGATGCGGCCTAATCCTTTTATCAACCAAAACACAGTCCCCTGGAATAGACGGCTCTTCACACCCTTTTGGGAAGAAGTCTCTAAGCCATTTCAAGTGAGACCAAGAGCACCAGGTCACACCAATATCTCTTCACAGTTTTTGGTCCATAGTTCATAGGTTAACCCATATTTCTGGAACCCTTATTTGGGCTGAAAATAACTTCCTTCTGTCCTGAGGAAATTATCATGTATTTAATTTAAACTGCCATAGCTCCCAGGTGATTCCTTACCCATGATGTACAGGTAAGTATATTTAACCTACTCCACAAATTTTTATGAAAATCGGGTAGCCTAAGAATGTCAGCCAATCCAGCAGTCCTATGTCTGGCAATCCCATGGTAGACATTTTAGGTAAATCGCATTTTTCATCTGACAGTTCAGCTGAGAGGGACAGTTCTCCTGTCTTAAGTTGTTTACAACTAGTCTTCCATTACTTTAGGTTCGGCCAGTGACCACAGGCTGTTAACATGGCTTTCTTAGAAGAAAATATCTCTACTGAGTGAAACAGAAAACGTACCATCCCTGTGTCTTTCATTTTAAATGATGAATTTTCATCCTGGAGGGTCTCTAGATGGTGCGATATGGTTCCCAAATCAGAACAATTAGAATAAAGTGTTCATCTTTCCTGAGACTTTAACCCTGACCCCTGTTTTAAGATCAATAGGGTGAGAAATAGGTGCGAGGGAGGAGGTTTGCCAATTAATTGTTTTTCTGTTTTTGGGGGTCTTAAACCTAGTTCGTCATCAGGAAGTGAGCTCTGCCCACTCAAGGAACACATTTGCTAAGCGTGAGCTGTCTGCTTCCAAGACATCTCTCCCTTGGCTCCCACTTAGCTGCCTGGGGCTGGAGGAGGGCATAAACTGGCAGTGAGACCACTTCTCCCCAGTCCCTTCCCTGTCCCCCGAGGCCCAGCTCCTGCAGAGACTGGGGGCAGGGAGGAAACAGGACAGGGGACAAGGGTTTCATGACAAACCAGCTCCCACCATGATCCTCTCTTGGGGTGACCCTGACCACCAGTGCCTTCTGAGCAGCAAGCACCCAATGCTGCGCTTTCTAGAACGTGTGCCGGAGTTCTTCGGAGGGCTTCTCCTTCTTAAACAGCATCTGCACCGTTTCTTGTCAGGGGAGATCACGCTCCCGCCTCGTCTCGTCCACGCTTCAACTCCCTCCAGATGTCAGCTCTTCTCTTCACCCCGACTTCTCTCTCTGACTCATTTCACTCCATGCTCAGATGTGCACAGGCAGCAGGTCAGCAAATTCTCTGCATAACCTGACAGCAGACAAGCTGAGGGATTGTCCTTATTTACATAATGTGTGTAGGGCAATTCAAGTTACGTAACATTGTGATCATACCATGTGGAAGAATCTGACCAAAATGGTATAGTGATTACTCTGGGTGGGGAACTGGGGCCTGGTTTTACTTTCTCCTTTATGATTATTTTTATCTGATGGAATTACTAGGAAAATTTCCCTAATTTCTGAAGAATACAAATTCCCTATATTAAAAAGATTACTTACCAAATATAGAAAAGGTAATATTTTTTTTTTAAGATTTTATTTTTATTTTATTTATTTGACAGAGGCACAGTGAGAGAGGGAACACAAGCAGGGGGAGTGGGAGAGGGAGAAGCAGGCTTCCCACGGAGCAGGGAGTCCATTGCGGGGCTCGATCCCAGGACCCTGGGATCGTGACCTGAGCCAAAGGCAGACGCTTAACGACTGAGCCACCCAGACACCCCGGTAATATGGTTTTGATCACAGAAACGAACACCACCTAGTAGATGTAGATACTTCATGGGGTGGCAGCCAAGCCCACAATGATATCCCTTCTCTGGGCCATGTCTATATTTGGTTTGATTCCTTGGCAAAAACCGATTACTCACAGACAGTAGGATACCTGACTCAAGCTGGGCCAATCAGATTGTTTTTTCCAGAGTTAAATTAAGATTTATGCAGAGTAAAATGCACAGATCTTAAATGTACAGTTTGCTGAATTTTGACAAATATATACATTCGTGTAGCCAATCCTACCATCAAAATTTAGGTTTCTATCTCTCTAAAAATTTCCCTCATTTCCACTTCCAGTCAATCCCCGCTCATACTAGCCAACCACTTTTCTGATTTCGATCATCACAGATTAGTTTGATCTGCTCTGGAACTTCATATAAATAAAATCGTGTGGTTTATATTCCTGTGTGACTTGCTTTTTTCACACAACAGTGTTTTTGAGATTCATCCAGATTTTTATGTGACTCGGTAGTTTGTTCTTTTTATTAGTGAATAATATGCCAGCGTATGAATATATTACATTATCTATTTTCCGATCAAAGGTCGTTTGGGTTGTTTCCAGTTTGGGGCTGCTTATGAATAGTTGCTATGAACATCTTTTTTGCAAGTCTTGCTGTGGACATATGTTTTCATTTTGGGGTGTGGGGGGGGGATAAATACCTGTGACTGAGATAGCTGGTTTATAGGGTAGGTATCTATTTCACTTCATAAGAAACTGCCGAACAGTGCTCCAAAGTTGTCCAACTTTACACACAAGCCATGTATGAGGGTCCCAGTTGTTCTGCTTTGCCACCATTTGGAGGGGCCAATCATTTTCACATAGCTGTTCTACTAGGTATGAAGAGATAGCTCACGGTTTTAATTTGCATTTCTCTGATGACTAATCCTGTTGAGCAACTTTTCATGTGCTTATTTATTGTCTATGCATCTTCACTTGTGGACCGTCTGCTCAAGTCATTTGTTCCTTTATTTTATTGGTTGTTTGTCTTTTTTTACTGATTATATGTATGTTCTAGATAAAAGCCAGATACGCGTATTATTAATATTTTTGAAGTGCCTGTTCAGCATTAGAAATGATGGCCACATCATTTCAGGAGAAAAAAAGAATGTGTAGCTGTAACAAAAATCTTAAATAAAATGTCACTATTTTGAATGGCTGGAATGTATACACAGAAAAATAATCTTAGGAAACCAATGAAAAAATATATTGGTAGTATATTAATTACATAGAACATAAATTAATTAAACATAAACATAAACTTAAAAATTTTAAATATGGTAATATATTACCATACACCAATAATATACAGTTCTGAATATAATAAAAATAATCATGCTTACAGATAAAACCAAAAACATGAACGGCTTTATGTATTCAAAGGAAATGACTTAAAAACCATGAGGGAAATATAAATAGAAAAGAATCAATGAGACATTGTACTGTGCCCTTGCTGCTTGAGAAGACCCGAGTTGCAGAGCCGATTCAATATTAACCAAAGTCCCTGATGGATGGCATATACAAGTTGACAAATTGATTTACAAATTAATTGAGAAGAATAAAAAGCAATGTGAATATTCTAAAAACCATTGAGTTTTAACTCTACATGGGTGAATTGTATGGTTTGTGAATTATCTTCATAAAGCTGTTAAAAAAAGAACCGGCAGAAAAAATTTTAAAGCTAAAACAAAAAAATAAGGAAAACAGTGAAAAAAAACATGGATTTGCTGTTTACAGTATATTAAATGAAAAATCAC